AAAAAAAAAAAAAAAAAAAAAAAAAAAATTTCATTTTATAATGGACAAAATAGATCAAAATTACCTTTCAAAATTGAAGTATGGCTTAAAACTAATCAACTACTTCAACACCATAATGTACAAATGCAACTTAGATGTCACTCTGTTTTAAACACTGTCATTAATTCAAAATTCAAGTGAAACCTTGGGTACATCTACAGGAGACACTGACCGTATTCCTCTGCCCTAACCAGAAATAAGTATTAGCAGACCGCTGAGGCAAATTAACTTCTAGGATTTAGGTCAAGATGACAGACATGAGTATAATTCAAGACATAAGATTTTCAGGCCCCCCCCATTCCTTTCACATAGTAGAGCTCTGTAGTGGACAGTGTTTCCGACTTGGAGGAATAACAAAAGACAAACACAACTTCCTAGGGGGATATAGGTGATCCACAGAACTCACCTTGGCCAATGCCGTTCCTGATGCTGAGACACACTTGCAAGTTTGCTCACTCAAGAGACAAATGCCTGGGAACTCGTGCTGTCCACCTGGCAGGGACTGATGTGGGGCCCTGCAGACGACAGTGCCTCACTGAACTGTCTGTTCTTTGGCAGGGGGCGTTTCGGCCAGGTTCACAAGTGTGAAGAGAAAGCAACGGGCCTGAAGCTGGCTGCTAAAATCATTAAGATTAGAGGTGCAAAGGACAAGGTAAAGGCCATTGGAGGTGCATCTCCTCTCCCTCTGGGCCAGTCTCCACCACACTAGTTGACTCTTTCCTTCTCCTCAGGAGGATGTGAAGAACGAGATTAGCATCATGAACCAGCTGGACCATGTGAACCTCATTCAGCTCTATGATGCCTTTGAGACCAAGCATGACATCATCCTCGTCATGGAGTAGTAGGTGTCCTCTCCCTCCCACCCATGTTCACACACCTTCTGCACAGTGCTCATGACTCAGCCGGAACCATGGGCAGTGCACCATTGGATCTGAGTTGCAGGAGACACGAGATCTTGCCAGAGTTGGAAGGGAAACTGTTTCTAAGTGCAATCTCCCAGCATGACTCACAGATCAGGTGCAGCAATACAAAACAGATGCAGCCTGTATCAAAATAGATGCAGTTCTGTTGTTCCAAATCAAGGTTGGATTTTATCCTGTGCAACCTAGAGGAACATGGTTTGTGAACTTCGACTCCTTCAACAGTGATTTCCCTTACCCTCAGGAGTATGTTCTAAATAAAACATTTAGTGGATGCCTAAAAGTGGAATGGTACTCACCCTACAGGCACTTAAATGCCCATGGTAAAGATTAACTTCTCAGTTAACAGCTCATAGTGAAAGAAAGTGATTATAACAATACATCAAACAAAAATTATGTGACTGTAGTCTCCATCTCAGAATATCTTGCACTGTACCAATCACAGGTGACCGTGAGTAGCTAAAACCGAGCAAAATGAAGCTGTGGATGAGGGGTGGTTAAGCATTCAAGAGCACAAAACACATGCCAAGCCCCTGATGCTAGGCCAAACAGCTTCATTTCAGAATCACTTATGTAAAAACTCAATCAGCTCAGGTGGTAGAGTGTCTACTTAGCATGTGTGATGCCCTGGTTTTTATCCAAAGTCCTACAGAGTCCTACACCAGCACACTTACCACAAAACTCAAGCAGTTCTAATAGTTAACAGACACTGAAAGTTTCTTTTGTTTGCCATGGTGAATAAGGCATTTGGAAAACTACTGTGTCCAGCACTGGCCACATAGAAGCCCTTTGCCATTACACTTAATCTAAGAACTCAAAAGGTGAAACCTTGACTCACTTTCTGTTCACACTGGAATCCAACCTCAGTGTGTCCTTGGGTTCTCTTCACCACTATCTGTTAAGTGTTACACATGCACTCAGCCACCAATGACAGGGACTTTGGGACTTCAGATGTGTGACACTGAAGGTCTATACATAAGGTATACTGAAGGTGTCCACCATAAGCATCATGTAACCCATACAGCAAAGAAGGCAAGGAAACACCTGTTGTGAGAGCTAGAAAAACTTGGGCAGCAACTTAGCACAGGAAAAACACATGGTGTTCATGGAGTCAGGACTGAAAGTTCCACCTCTTCCCTCCGCAGTGTGGAGGGTGGGGAGCTGTTTGATCGCATCATTGATGAAAACTGCACCTTGACAGAGCTGGACACCATCCTGTTCATGAAGCAGATCTGTGAGGGGATCAGGTACATGCACCAGATGTATATCCTCCACTTGGATCTCAAGGTAGGGCATGATTTTCATGCTGTGAAATGCAAAGCCTCCTTAGCTCTTCCCCCATGGTCAGGGGACCTGTGAAATATTATGTACCAACCTTGGAAAGTTGTGTTGTCTCTGGTCATGTTTTCAGGAATTAATAAAAATCTGGATTTTTTTCCTTTTTTTTTTTTTTTTTTTTGAGAGGTGTCTTGCTTCTTTACCTAGCCCAGCCATGAACTTCTGAGCTCAAGCTATCCTATCAAAGTCAGACTCCTCATTTGGTGGGAGAGACTCATGTCACACCACCTAGCAAAATCCAGATTTTCATCTCATTCTTAACAACTGTCACCACTTTCGGGGACTAATATTTGCATGCCCATCTTTAGAATCTTTTGTTGAGATTATTATAAATTGTCTCTATTAAATCAACACAGGAGGTCGTTTCCCTAAAAGTGTAGAATTAAAGACAGCACCATTCCCACAATATTCCTGCCATCTCCTTACTATCAGATTACATGGTGAGAGTATTTTGGTCTTTAATTCCAAAGTTATAGTTACCATTTCAGCTCTTAAGAATCCCCAGTAGCCTCTTGAATTCTTCTAGGAAACTCCGGTTTGGGATTTGCTTTCCTGTAGGTTTGCTAAAACACCAAGTAGAAGCCATGGAGAACGGAACGCAGGGCAGCTGGAGGGTGGGGATGCAATGCCAAAGAGAAGCGAGGGTACTTGTTCACAGAGCAGAAGCCATGAGGGAATCCAGTTCATTTCCTTCCTCCTCTTTATCTCTCTCTCTCATTATGAAGTCTCCAGAACTGGACTGCCCATCACATGAGATAAGACCAACGAAAGACTGGACCCTACCTAATAAGCCTGATCCAGTCTACGTTAGAGTTACTATCATAAAGTGCATCTTCTTGTGTGGCTTGATCATTTCCTCATTTCCCTGTTTGCACAGCATGACAGTGAGATAAATTGTGTATTCTATGTAACATACCATATATTGTAAGTCTCCAGGGAAGGTACAGCTGAATAAATCTGGCCTCCTTAAATAGGTTTCCATGGGCCTCTCTTCCTACAACTTGGCTTCCCTTGCTGTCTTGATTTATGTGCCTTGCCTTTCCCATTCACTGTTGCACAGGAGGAGGAAGGGGGGGAAGTGGGACATAAAACGACCAAGTCAGAGGTTAAAAATCATTAGCAAAGTCCTTGGCCACGGACTGAATATGATAACGCGCATTTTCAAGGAGCACTTTTGTTCACTGTAGATATTCTACAGATATCCCTAAAGAGATTTGATTGGCAGCTGGAGCCAGGAGCTGACGTATCATAAGTCAAATGATTCCGTCTGTGGCTTTGTAACACTGATTGAAGACTTGCAATGGGCAGTTTTAGTTATGGCTTATATATAAAGATAATAATAAAGGTGACAGCTGGATGGGTCACGAAGGACCAGATTTTTTTTCAGAGAGCTCCTTGGAAGACAAAAGACTGGTGACATTGAGTGTGCATCACTGCAGGGAGTCAAGAGGTGACTCTAAAGTATTCTTTTTCATCATTTTATTTTCTGAAAATCTTAGATGATGGGCAGTCTTAGTTTTAGTATCATAGAATTTTTTTTGAAGTGTCCTCTGTTTATATTCTGCAAAAGAATTTTCAGGATACAATGGTATTCTTTGATAATAGGACAGCCTTTACTTGTTCAACCCATTATTTAAGCATGACTCCAAATGCTCTAGTACAGCACCCACCTCTGTGTAAAGTGGCTTTTATTCTCAGACATCTGTTTTAGAGACATTTTAGGAAAGGGCTTCCAAAGATATTATACACAACCAAATGGGCGATTAGATATTGATATGAAGATACTACATCATTTCACGAAGTGTGTCTGGGTTTCTGCCTCTCTTGGACCTCCTTTCCACCAGACAGGATGTGGAAGGAGGTGTGGTCCATATAAAAGATGGGGATGGAATCCTGGGTACCTGGCAACTTCGCTATGCCCAGCTCTTAGTGGAGTTGAAATTAGAATTTAAGAGTTCTTGGCTCTTCTTTGAAAATGCTATTTCTTTTTTTTTAATGGATGACCTTGGCTTTAAATGAAATTACTTATTTTTCCCAGACTTAAGGTTTTCTATCCCAATAAATATAGCTACATCAGCAGGACATTCCAGGGACACCGAGAAGTAGTGCTATAGCTTGACTTTGTTCCCCTCCCCCAAGCCTGTCAGATTAGCAGGCCAAGTTTTACAAGCATCTAACTCCAAGGGAACACTTAGTCAAGGATTTTAAGCACTGAAACCGAGCTCAGCAAAACCTTGCAATTTTGGAGATGAAGAATGAGTAGGAGACAAAAGCCTCCCTTTAGCATGCGACTTTCCCATAGACAAAGCACACGGGAAAAGTCTGGAGGTCAAAAATGTTCGCACTGTATTGCGTATTCAGCGTGGTTGTTTAAGTGAATCAGGCCATTTCTCTTGGAACTCGTAAATCTTGAGGGAAATATTCCTCCAAGAAGGAAATATACTTAATACTTTAACAGGAGGAGGGCTCTGTCAATTCTGAGCTGGCCTCCACCAGCCAGTTTGGAAAGTGCTGGAACAGCCTCCCCTCTCTGTCTCTCCTCTAGAAGGCCCATGCCTGAACTCATGCATTATGGCAATCCCTAAAACCATGAAGAGGGACAGGCAGGGTAATGCAAGGTTGGCAGGCTACCCACAACCTCATCCACCACATAATTAGAGAAGAAAATACCCACACAGACAAGCCAGCCCCCAAGTGAAAGGCCTGATATGTTTTTCCTGAGCATCTTGTATTTTTAGTTGTGGTTCAAGGACAATTTGAGTGAAAGATGGTTGTTTTCATTGCTAATGTGTCTCTTTCTCTGGCAGCCTGAGAACATCCTGTGTGTGAATCGGGATGCTAAGCAAATAAAAATTATTGATTTTGGATTGGCCAGAAGGTATGTCCATTTAGATGTAAGTACAGGGATAGAGGTACGGGATGGGAGCTTCATTCTTTACAAAGACTATCTGACATGCCCCAGATCTCATGCCTTCATTGAGAGTTAATTTAATGAAAATTACTTTTACCCTAACCCTGTTAAAGTTAAGATTTGAACATTGAGAAGTTTCTATAACACAGGTAATGGAAAATGAAAAGTAGAAACTTAGTCCAGTGAAGTTTATTAACTTATAATAAATTAGTTTAGAATTTGTGTTTATCATAATTTTTATATTCCATTTATAAAGAGAATATTTACTTTAAAATGTTAGTAGTTTAAACAAGGCATAGAGGGTTCTGATTTCTTAGGGAAACAAATAGTTTATATGGGTGTATTAACAGCTCAGCACACTAATACACAGAAAACAGATGCTGTGGATTATTACAGCATCTTGTCAGTTTGGAAGGGGTTGTTCTGGCTATGTGCATGTGAAGGGACTGTATCAGGGTATTTGTCACGACCCTATTCAGATGTTCCAGTTATTCAGAGAGGGTTTTCTTACAACAGTTTCAGAATATTAAGGTTTTATAGGATTTATTTTTACTTTTGAACCCCTGGAATATCAGTCAGTTTTTGACACTACCACAGATAGGCAATTTCTGGCAAAAGTTAATTTATTTTTATTTGCTGCATAACTGAAGGTGGTTTGGCCTTATAGATGGTGTCTGTTTTCAATGAAGTTCATTAGTTTTGATTTTGGATTGACATGGCCCCCCTCCCTTCTTGTTCCTCAATTTCAGATACAAACCCAGAGAGAAGCTGAAGGTGAATTTTGGAACCCCAGAATTTCTTGCCCCTGAAGTTGTGAACTATGATTTTGTTTCCTTTCCTACGGATATGTGGAGTGTGGGCGTCATCACATACATGCTGTGAGCACCTCTTCCATCTCTCACACACTCTTCCTGTAATCTGTGAATATTCTAGGAAGCCTCACTAGAATCAAAGCCTTGACCCAGGTCTTCTAGAATAACATAGTGCCATCTCCTATTGCTTAGGTTCTGTTGAGTCTTACAAGTGAAAGGAGTGAATTCCTTTCCCCACTGTATCTGAAAGAAAAAAAAAAAGACATGAATGTCTTCTTCACAGGTCCCTTTGAGTCCCAGGTTACCAAGAGCCCTAAACACTGTTTGTTTGTTTGCTTGCTTGCTTGTTTGTTTGTTTGTTTTATAAAAATCCTAGTTATTGATCTCTTTGGGTCAGTGTACACTGATCTGCTTGGATTGCACCTCAGCAATGATATTCTGGGGTTTACCTTCTGAGTATGTGACAGTACCTTGTCTTGCCAGCTGTAAAATACTTGAAAAAAAATCTTGTTTTATTTTGAGCTTTAAAGTATAGCTATAACCTTCAATGCTGCAGTCGCTTAACTGGTAGTTTGGATGAGAGACATAGGCATGGTCCTGGCTGCAATGACGTATTATATACTTATAGTTTATTGATATTTTCCTGCTTTTATTTTTAAATGGAAAAACTAAAATGTATCCTATCTATAAGAGATTCAAAGACTGTTTTAAAAAATACTTACCCTGAATTCTGTGTCTTGTAGACTCAGTGGCTTATCCCCTTTTTTGGGCGATAATGATGCAGAGACGCTGACCAATATCCTGGCATGCAGGTGGGACTTAGAAGATGAAGAATTTCAGGACATCTCAGAGGAGGCCAAGGAGTTCATCTCTAAGCTCCTAATTAAGGAGAAGAGGTAAGCCAAGTTCATCTCGTGTTGTAGGAGGAGTAGGGATGATTAGGTGTAGAGTGAACCATGGAGTTAGTAGATTCCATCCTCTCAGTGACATCCATAATGCCTGTGCAGACTCTGAATGCAATGAGGTTTGAATCCTTGACCCAATCTGTTAGTGACTAGGACTGTTTCAGTCATGAGGCTGGATGGGACTGAAAATTTTGTCTCTTTCTGACTTTTGTAATCAAGTTCCGTCAGTCAAGCCCTTCTGGTCGACCTCAGGTGACCTACCGTTGATCCCTTTCATGTCTATCAACAGTTATAGGCCAGACAGTGTCATCTGTGTTTTTGGACATTATTTCTTTTAACCACAGCTCTTAATTTCCAGAGGGAGAAGTTTCTATTGTGACTACTTTATGATGAGACAGTATGTAGTTACTCTATGATAACACTGCTAGGAAGGGGCAGAAATGACACTAAATATGAGTTGATCTTCCTCCAAGCTTACACTCTAGGCTGTCATATAGCTTTATCTTTTCCTCTCATGCAAAAAAATTAATTTAAATTTTAGTGGACGAACGAGTATGATATTAAAGTATAGGGGCTTGAGTTTAGAGTGACAGAATGAGAAGGTCACTTTAGATGGCTTTACATATGAATTATATGACAATAGATCACATTTAAACTCTTCAGAGCCAATAACAGCTGCTTTAGTGTCCTTGTAGCATTTAGGCCCACTAGTAAACATGATTGTGAAGGAATAGGGACGAGGATCTTATGGAGAGTAGGAGAAACAACCTAGGTAATGGCTAATGGTGTTAGGTGAGGGATTTTTTCACTTAAGCACTTAACTGGCCATCTATTGCTAGGAAATATTCCAAGGCTGGCCTGGAACTCAGTTTGTACAGCAGGCTGGCTTCAAACTCATAAAGATCTGCCTGCATCTATCTTCCAGGTGCTGAGATTAAAGGCATGCACCATCATGTCTGGCAAGATTGGTCTTCTTAGAAAGAAATGATACAAACCAGTTGATAAAATAATGAGGCCAGTTCTGAGTCTCTGGAGCAGTGGTTCTCAACCTTTCTAATGCAGCAACTTTTGTTGCTCAAATTTTAAAAGGTCTTTTAATTAAAAACCCTGAGCCACATATTGGGGTAAATGCTGAAAGATCAGAGAGACAAAGGAACAAGCCACTGCCACTTGTCACCTCACCAACTCCATGAATTCTCTGACTGAAATCCTCTGAGTCTTCACCCGAAAGACTCAAGTCGAAAAAGTCTGTTGTTCTTGTCTCCTCACACCTTACATACCTTTCTCCACCCAGCCATATAATTTCCTGTCTCAACTTTCCTAGTGCTGGGATTAAAGGCATGTGATTCCCAGTACTGGGATTAAAGCTGTGTGCCACCCCTGCTTGGCTCTGTTTTCTTTCCTAGCCTGAGTCAATCTCATATACTCCAGGAAGGCTTTGAACTTACAGAGATTCAGACAGATTTCTGCCTCCCAAGTGCTAGGATTAAAGGTGTGTGCCACCACTGCCTGGCCTCTATGTTTAATCTAGTGGCTTGTTCTGTTCTCTGATCTTCAGGCAAATTTTATTAGGATATACAATATATCACCACATTTCCCCCTTTTTTGTCTAAAATAATAAAAGAAGATTATAACTAATATAAGAAAAACTATGTACAATAAGTATATACAATATATACAGTCAATCATTAAATTAACAATGTCCAGTCCATTAACATTTGACAGATTAAGAGAAAATACTCCATTATATATCCTATTTTGGTGAGTCCAAAATGTTGTACCTAATTCAGGTTCTATCCTAACTTGTATTCCCAACCGGATACTATCTTTTGATGTCTTTCAAACTTATATACTTTACACCTTTTTAGTGAGTTTCTTTTCTGAGTTTGTTAACAAGGAAAACTATAACTATAATGATCTAGTCTTCAACTACTTCAGAGACCCAAGAAGGAAATAATAATACCTAAGTAATCAGGAAATGCAAGCAAGCAATTTCCAAAAAATGTGAGAAATGACAGAAACAGCTGGCTGGCTGTCACCCAAGGTTCCTCTGCAACATTGAGGCATCCATCTTGAGCCTATAAGCCTAGCATATCTGATGGATTCATCTGTGAGGCAGGATTTTCTAAAGGGCTTTGCTATCTTGTCTTGGCAAGGTTTGGCAGCCTTTTTGTGTGTGTGTGTCCTGCTTGTCCATTTGAACAGCATACTGTCAGCAGTTAAGGTAAGGGCACTTTCTTGCCCAGTGGCTAACTTTTGCCACAAAGAAAGTAAACTCTATATGGAGTTTCTTTGATGCCCATCATCTTCTCTGAAGTATATTGGTGCTGTCAGGAGTAGACATGTCTCTTAGTCATAAAAAAATCTATTTTATTAAAACATCATAAATGCCATATTCTGTAGATCTCTGAAGTGTTTGAAGATGACCTGCCTATCTAAAATATGTTTCTGTTTGACCTTAAAAACATACCTAATATGACTTACAAGTTTGATTGTAATGACTAACTACTAACTTGCATTTCTTTATTTCTTAATTAGTTGGTAATAATAACTTTAGAGGACTAGCAATTTGCATTACATTGTTAAATGAACTGTATAGGCACAATACCTTGAACAAGATTAGAAGTATATGTACAGTATTTTCTAACAAAATTAATCTCAACTTTGTATCAATATACAAAATTTGTTTATAATATACAAAAATCCAATCCAATGTAAATATTTAAAACTAGTAGTTGCTTTTTAAAAGTAGATTCAATAATCTACCTTTTTATCTCATATATTCCTGTTTATTTCTTTCCAGAGTAGATTTAATAATCTACCTTTTTAATCTCATATCCATATTCTTTTTTTTCTTTTCAGAGTAGATTCAATAATCTATCCTTTTATCCTATCATTTCTATATCTTTTTTCAGAGTAGGTTCAATAATCTACCTTTTATCATATCTCTCTATATATCTATATATTCTTTTTTCTTTTTTTTTAAATAAAAACCCTGAATTTAATCTCCTTTGTTTTAGCTTTTTTCCTGACTATTAACAATTAACAACTTGTAACCAACAATTCTAAACAATGACAATTATCTATAACCCATTGAAAGGCCAAAAGCCACCCACCCCACCTCTTGGCAATGTGGGCATTGTGTTCTGAAAATTACTTTCTGCTCTCTGGGGGCAAAGGCATCTTTAAGGGATCCTGAAAAGAAAAATTTTGTGTTAATTGTCAAGTCCTGGGAGAGGTAGCTATATCATTTGTTGTCCAGTTGCATAATGGAAAAGTGCAGGGCTTGTCTCAAGTTCTGGTTAGAGTAGTCTGTTAGGTTGAATCATCTCAGCTAGCCATCTTGAAATTGTCCTGAGCAGTTTGTAGTCCAAAGCTGATCTTTAGGTGGTGTTTGTCAGATTGGTGGCATTATCATAATCCTGATGAAATCATTGTTGTGGGGTCCTATCATCTTTTCAGAGACTTCACCCTTTAATATAACTCCTCATGTTATAGTGACCCCAACCATAAGATTATTCTCATTGCTACTTCATAACTGTAATTTTGCTACTTTTGTTATTTGTTATTATGCAAATAATAATTTTGTTAATGAATTGTAATGTAAATAATTTTGGAGATAGAGGTTTGCCAAAGGGGTTGCGACCCACAGATTGAGAACCACTGCTCTAAAGAATGAAGTGACTTAGCTGAATAAAAGCATCAGTCTGAGAGGAGGGGCAATTTAGAGAGTTAATTTATTTGTCCTTGACTTTTAGGCACAATAACAGCCAAGGTTGTTAGTGTTCCACATTTATGGATCCTAAGCAATATAGAGGTGTAAAAATGCCAGCTTTTTTAAACTTTGGAGGATGAAGAACTCTACATTTACTGTGCACTGTGTGTGTGTGTGTGTGTGTGTGTGTGTGTGTGTGTGTGTGTGT